TACTTACATTAAATACTTTTTGACTAAGCTCATTATTTTTATCGCTGTTTAGTTTTTTTACTTGAATCTGAAGCCATAAAATTCTATCAAGCGATATTTTTTGCATTTCGTATAAAACACGAAGTTGTTTGCCTTGTTTTATTAACATTGTCTCAATATTATTGAGAGGGCCACGATTATCAGATGAAACTCGTTTGACAATTGAAGTTGAATGTTGACTTTGGGCAGGTTCAACTATAATAGGTGGTTCAACTATAGGTGTTGAGCGTCGACTTTGTTGTCTCTCATTAGGGATAGGCGACGTGATATCTGGAGCTATTATTGGCGTGTGAGATCGACTCCTCATGATAATTTCTTTATTGTCAACTGGATCGATAATTATCATCGATGATGTGGCCGATTATTAAGATGATGATTATTGAGTAGTACTAGATTGTTGAGTTGAAGACAGTTGTGAGGTAGTAGAGGTAGATTGATGAGAAAAATTCAAAACTCCTTCTTCTTCTTCTTCTTCTTCTTCTCTACTATAATATATTTCACGAGAACGTTCTTCAACACGTCTACTTCTTCTTAGACCCCTTGCACGTACTGCGCCTCTTGCCCCTCTTGTAACTAAAATAAAATATTCAACATGTATTAACGTTTATTAATACTTAACGTTATTAATACAATAATGTAAATAATGTAGAAATTATTATTACCTTCTGTATTTCTTAATGAACTTTCATCGCTATGTTCCTTATCTGAATTACGATATTTTTGGTTTGACGTTTCTGAAGATTGGGCTCCCCGACGTTTATAAGTCATTTTTTTTTTAAAAAAAGTGTGAGAAAATAAGAAAATTTGAAAAGAATGAGTAAGAAATTGCTAATATTTTAAAAAGAGAACGCGAAGAAAAGTTAAAAAGCGTGCGAGAAAAAAAAAATGTTAGAAAGCGAGAGAAAAAAAAATGTAAGAAAACGAGAGAAAAAAAAATGTTGGAAAGCGTGCGAGAAAAAAAAATGTTAGAAAGTGAGAGAAAAAAAAATGTTAGGAAGCGAGAGAAAAAAAAAAGTTAAAAAAGCACGATTAGAAAGTTAATAGAAAGTTTAAGAAAAGTTACCCTTATATAGTATATTTTCGCTATTTTTGATATCAATCGTTATGAA